ACTGGCCGTGTGCTGCTGGTGTGTGCCCTCTGCGTGCTGTGGTGCGGGTTTTCTTTGGTGTCGGCAGATACCGGGGATGATCGTGAGCATTCCGGCCAAGGTGTTGTTGGGAGTGTTGGTCAACCTTCTTCCCCAGTTGGGGGTCATGGTGATAATGGAGTTGTCACTGATGGAAGCTCTCTGAGCAGTGGAAGTCACTTGCCGGGTTCTGCTCCTACGGGTGGCAAACCTTCACTTCCCGGTGTTGGTGAGTGTGTGGGTTTAACTAAATCCAAGGATGCCTTAACTCTTGCAAAAGAGGGGCATGAATTCGTACGGGATCAGCATGAATTAGTGCCCCAAGTTTCGCACCACACTGATGCGGGAACAGGAGGGAAAAGCGATCTCAGTGCGCCAGAACAGTCGCCCAACGCAAAAACAGAATTAGAAAATGATGATGGTGTTTGTGGTGATGATGCTGCAGCTGCGGAGGGTGAAGTAATAACCACCGTGAATGAAGAACAATTGGGCGGATCTTCCACGAGCGACAGCCATCCACCAGCAGCAGACCGAGGGGCGAAGGAGCAGGAAGGCACAGTGGAACAAGCAGCATCAACAGCGGCACTGACGCCAGTGGTGGGGCGAGAGACAACACCTAAAGGGGACACCGAAGAGGACTCACCGGAGGATAAAGCCACAACCGGCGCAGGTATCACACAAGATATACCAGCTGCCGGTCAACAACAAACACATTCTTCATCCACTTCTACAACTGGAAATGGTCCGACTTCTACTCTAGGAAAAGGGCGCGCTGCGGAGGACATTTCCAACAATAACGAACGATCTGGCAAAGCACTACTGCGAGAAGGAGCGGAACATGAAACTGTTGCTGGCAGCCAATCGCAAGCAATACCAGCAGCCACCGCCCGTAACACACTTGGCACAACCCTTCCTGGCGGCAGCGACAACAGCACCACGATAACTACAGCCGTGCGGTCTGACACTGGCACAGAAGGCACTCCAACCAGCAATCATCCGAACCGACAATCCATTGAAGGCGCCACGTCACCCGGCATGAATTCCGATGGTGAAGCTGCATCAGCCAAAAACTATGATACGGTACCTCAGAATGCAGGAATCCCAACAACAAAAGCAATCGCCACAGCCAAAACAAATGACGCAGCTTCTCATGGCGACAGTGACGGCAGCACCGCGGTCTCCCACACCACCTCCCCTCTTTTGCTTCTTCTTCTTCCTGTTGCGTGTGCGGCTGCTGCGGTGATGGCCGCGTGAGAGTGAGGGAGAGAGAGCCGTGCACCGCCCGCACACACACTCTTCCTTCTCTCTGTGTGTGTGTCCCCTTGCATGGACTCTCGCCCTCACCTCACCACACGAAGCACACACAATAATGCGCCCATTGTATATATGCATGCACACCCATGCAGGCCCGTTGGTGCTCTCTTTTGCACGACACGCACCGCTGCCGTCCTGCCTGGCTGCATGGGCGGAGCACCGTAACTGTTTCTGTTTTGTTTTTATTGCATTGAGTGGGCGACCTCTCTCTCTCTCCCTCTGTGTGTGTGTTTTGCTTTACGGGAGTAATGAGTGTGTGTGCGCTGGTCGTCCCACGCTTCGGCTTCTTGTTTTGTTTTCCTTTTTGATTTTGTGGTTGAGTGCACCCATTCCGCGGCTGCGTGTGTGCGCGATGATATGAGTAATTTGCGTGTTTTATCTGTTTCTTTCTTCCATTGCCTTCTTTGAACCCTTGTGCCGCACAGCTGCTCTGCAAGTATATCCACTGGCAAAAACACATGCACACACACACGCCATTATGCATACTCTGTAGAGCGGCGTGATAGCTGAGAATGGATGCACGCACAGGATTGTGGCTGCGACGTCCCTTGCGAGGAAGGAGGACGGGAGCCCGCGATTTATTTTTCGACACGCTGCAGGCGTGCAGTCTATTGGGTGGTGTGGCTTAAGGTGCCAGGGACAAGTGCGGATTGCTTCTTGTCCAGCAGCTGCACGTGCCAATGTGTATCTCCCATGCTGAGTATACTTTGGTCAGGGATTCTTTGCCTGCGTGGGGTGATGTGCGCTGGCGGATGCGCTGGAAGGGTGAACAGTAAAATGACTGGCGAGAGCGCGTGGGCTTTGGGAAGGACGGTTGTGCTCTTTTGCATTCCGCCAGTTGTTTTGTGTGTTTGTGTTGCTGGGTGTGTGCTGAAGCGTGAATAACAACACACCTGCTGCGGCTAGTGGCAGTCACTGTGTGTTCACGGTGCACTGTTCTCCTTCTGCTGTTCCGTGTGTCTGTGTGCGTGAGTTTTTGTTGTTGGGAGTGACTGCGGCGGGGATGATGATGCCACTCACTGTGGATAGGTGAGGGTGCTCGCTGTTATGCCACTGTTGTGGATATGTTTTCTCTTTATTTCTTTCCCACCCTCGCAAAGAAGGGAAACAAGCGCGAATCGCCACTGTGAAATTGTAAGGCTCTGAAAGGAACAACAACAACAGCACACACCGCCCACACACACATATTTATATGCTCTCACGTGTTGCTGCAGTGAAGGCACCCCGCACACAAAACCGTCGCCGCGTGACCGGATCCAGCGGAAGGAGGAGGGAAGGAAGAGAGAGTGAGCCGCGGAGGCCCAACACGTCCCGGCGTTTGTTTACTTCCGCGGTGCTCCTCCTCGTGATGATTTTCTGCGGCACTGGAGCTACGCAAGCTGCTGTGGAGGAACCGTCGTCTGATCCGAAGCTTCAATGGAAGGGCATCAGTGAAGGTGATGTAACTGTGGAGTCGTTGGGTGCTCCCGGCCTTTTGAAAGTGGGGAGTGACGTATTTGCCGTTGCCGAGGCGCAGTGCAAGAAGAATGGTGAGGGTGGAGACAACACCTTTACTGGCATTGCATCCCAACTTCTCACGATGGAAACAGGTAACGAACCGAAGGAAGTGCTGGAGGGTGCCAGGGAGAAAACACAATTTCTGGAGGAAGGCACTTCTCCAGAGGCGGAAAAAGTAGATGTGAGTCGACCAACAGCAGTTGTGAATGGAAGCGATATTTACATGCTTGTTGGAAAACGCAGCTATGAAGCTGCCACTAACTGTCAGGCTGGGACCGAGAAGATCAAATCGGGAATATTGCTGGTGAAGGGTGAGATCAGTGGTGAAGGCGGCAACGAACAAATCCATTGGAGGGAAACTGACGGTCTCCCGTGCACTCTAGGCGACCAACAAAACTCCTTGAAGCGACTGATTGGCGGCGGTGGATCGGGTGTTAAGATGGAGGACGGTACGCTTGTGTTCCCAGTGGAAGGCACGAAGGAGAAGGATGACAACGGAAAGGATGAAAAAACCGTGTCGCTGATTATATTAAAGGATGCTGAGAGTTGGACGCTGTCGAAGGGGATGTCTGACGGTGGCTGCGGTGATCCCTCCGTCGTGAAGTGGGAGAAGGACAAACTCATGATGATGACTGCGTGTGATGATGGCCGCCGCAGGGTGTACGAGTCCGGTGACAAGGGGGATTCGTGGACGGAGGCACTCGGGACACTCCCGCGCGTGTGGGGCAACAAACAGGGTGAAGGGAAGGCCGTTGGGAGCGGGCTCACCACAATGACTCTTGACGGTGTTGGAGATGAGCAGAAAAATGTGATGCTCGTTACTCTGCCGGTGTATCCCAAAGAAAATAAAAAGGCGAACTCCATCTTTGGCTGACGGACAATACGCACATTGTTGATATTGGGCCGGTATCCGGGAAGGACGATGACGCTGCCGCCAGCGCCCTGTTGTACAAAAGTGTTACAAGTGGAACTGATGAGGAGTTGATTGCACTGTACGAGAAGAAGAAGGGCGATGAAAAACCATCGCCCGGTATGGTCTCTGTGCGTCTGACTGCGCAGCTGCAGCGTGTGAAGGATGTGCTGGCGATCTGGAAGAAAGTGGAAGAACATGTCTCCAAGCTGTGCTCTTCTGAGAGCGCTGTGCAGGCTCCCTCACCTGCCAGTGCCTGCAAAAACACTGAGATCACGGCTGGGCTGGTTGGCTTTTTGTCCGGCAACTTCTCTGAGAAAACATGGAGGGACGAGTACCTCGGGGTGAACGCCACAGTAACTGGTGGGACAACAAAAGTAACAGAGTCTTCAGATGGAGTGACGTTCCAGGGTGCGTGGGCGGAGTGGCCCGTTGGCAGGCAGGGGGAGAATCAGTTGTACCACTTTGCGAACTACAACTTCACTCTTGTGGCGACGGTGTCCATCGACGGTGTGCCGCAGGAGGGAGATACCCCTATTCCAGTGATGGGTGCGAAGATGGATGGCGATGATAAGACTGTTCTCCTGGGACTGTCGTACGACAGCGGAAAGAAGCGGGCAGTGTTGTGCGGTGGCGGACAGAAAAAGGAGCCCAGCAGTAATTGGGAGCCAGGGAAAACGCACCAAGTGGCCATTGTGCTGCAGAACGGCACTCAGGGCTCCGCGTACGTCGATGGTAGGCGTGTGGAGGACGAAACGTGCTCACTAAAAACTACGAATTCTAAAGGGATATCCCACTTTTACATTGGAGGGGATGGAAGCAACATAGAGGGCCAAGAAGGCTTGTCTGTGACTGTGACGAATGTCCTGCTGTACAACCGTCCTTTGGATGACGATGAGATTGCAGGGCTTGCCAAAAATACAATTACTATTCCAAAGCTGGAAGATCCGAAGAAATCGGCGACACCTCCTCGTTCACCAGAGGCAAGTGCACCAGATGTGGAGAGAACCGTGTCTCAACCTAATTCTGCCGGGCAACGGCCGTCGGAGCAGGAACAGCCGAAAGGGAGCAATGGTGCGCGTGCTGGCGGTGCATCCACACCAGCGACTTCTACCGCCGCGACTTCTTCAGGAAAGGGGAGCCGTAACCAGCAGACATCTG